GTGTCGGGCCTGGACCTTCATGTGTTCTGCTGTCTGATCAATCTCACACTGAACTTTCTTCTGGAGCTCCAGTTTCTGCTTTAATGGTTTCAGAGTTTCCAGAATTTTCTCTTTGTGTTGTCGTGCAGCTTCATCCATGGGTCTGAATGTGTGCTCGCTGTGTTTTTCTGAATCTCTGCAGACGAGACAAACTGGTTCCTGATGGTCCAGACAGAAGAGTCTGAGTTTCTCAGAGTGCAGACTGCAGAGAGCCTCTGAAGAGCTCTGATGTTTCTCCTGTAAGAAGGACTCACAGAGGTTCTTCAGAACCAGGTTACAGGGTGGGTCCATCTTCGAGGATCTTCTCTTACAAACAGGACACTCCTGTGTTGGTTTCTGTCTCCACCAGTTCTTCACACAGACTTTACAGAAGCTGTGGCTACATGACAGGACAACAGGATCTCTGAAGACCTCCTGACAGACCGGACAGCAGAGATCCTCCTCTGATCTGGAAGCCATTTCGACTCTGAGTGAAGCTGAAAACACAGCAGACAGAAAGTCCAGTCAGTCCTGGCTCCCCTCCCTCCTCTAACGTCCTTCAAAGRGTCTCTGAGAGTTTTTGCTGCGACTCACCTTCAGTGTGTGAAGTGTGAGCAGCTTCAAGCAGCAGCTGGACTCAGTCAGTCTGACCTGAAGCTCCGGATCATCCTCTTTGTGTCCTGTAGGCTCCAAAGGTCACCGACCATTTCCTGGTTTGTGAGTCAGGAGGAGGATCTGCATAACCTGTAAAATTTGGTGCCACACCCTTTCAGTCAGATGGTTTCACTTTTGTTTTTCAATCTTTCAGCTTCTTTAAAACTGAAACAGGTTCAACATTTTCAGCTGTTCAGAATAAACTTCATGAAAACTAAAACTTTCCTCAGAGCTGCAGAATGTTTCTCAGTTTTATTCACTTTTCAAAGAAATCAAAGCTATTAAATAACATTTCAATATATAAATATATTTATTTTTAAAATAATGATTGACAATGACTCAAAACATTTTTTTAGATTATTATTTTTTCATTCCCTGCCGCATTCTGAAACCCACAATCGCCCCCTGGTGACCCCACTTTTAAAACCACTGAAATAATGTGTATTGGTGCCACCTGACTCCTCCTATTTTATTATATTATAAACAGTGGTGGGCAGCACTAATCTAAAAAATAGTTTCACTAGCTCTGAAACACTAACACAAATATTTAGGTCCAATAATTCTAAAACACTAACGCACTGAAAGTTTTAGCAAAAGCTAATTCTATATAGAATAGAATAGAATAGAATAGAATAGAATAGAATAGAATAGAAT